CTGATACCATCACTTTCCATCTGGTGAACGATAAAAAGGTTAGGCTATCCAAGAAACTCTTCTGCCAGATTCTTGATATTCTGAATTCACCTCCTTATGTTGATTTCACATTCCCACAAATAGTTCATATGTTTAATGAGATGGGATATCAGCCCCCATTGTCCAAGATAAGTGATTTTAAGAAATCTGGTCTTCCTCGGCTATGGAATTTCTTATTTGGGATTTTTCTCCGATGTTAACCGGAAGAACAGTTGGATTAGACAAAGGAAGGATGGAGGTGTATGCAATGGTTGCAGGCCTATACTACGATCTGCAAGTGGATTATTCTACACAATTATGGAAGGAATTCCAAAAGGGTGTAGAACATACGAATGCAGTTCATGGCATTTCGTGTGCACGATACTGGAGTCTTATTTTGCAGTATTTTTATAATAAGGAAGGGATTATGGTACCAAATGACGAAGAGAAGGTTAATTTTCAATCATACCATTATCCGAAGGAAGTTGTAGATAATGTTGATGATTTCCCATCTGTGGCTCACATTCCAGATGTGATGCTCAAACGGGTTGATCCTACGAATTCTGTTTTAGTGGCCAATTTGCAAACAATCGATTCTTCTGTTCAGACTGGGATCTTGTTGCCTAGGGAAGAGAAGAAGTCCAAAACGTCAAAGAAGGCTGATCCTGCTTCATCTAAAAAGAAAACCAAGGATTCGAAATCCTCGAAATCTCCAAAGAAAAAGTCTGAAACTGTTGGAGTATCTGTTGTTGAAACACAAGTGATTGAGCCCGTCATTGAAGAAACTCAAGAGAAGGTTGTCATTCCTTCGAAAACAGGAATGTTTCGAAGAATTAAAATGAAGTCCTCTCATAAACGCAAGTCTCCTACACAACAAATGATTCGAAAACCTCAAATTACACATCAAGGTGTGTTAATTAGAGAAGTACCAGCACCTGTTTCTCCGGTGTCGAAGAAAAGGAGGGCTGAGGATATGGCAAAGAAGTTGTCAAAGAAAAAGAAGAAGAAGGCTCGAAAGTTGGTGATTTCAACTGAGTCAACCGAAGATGATGATGACCGCATTCCAGAAACTCCATAATTCACTCATCTCATTACGAGTTCCACTCCTAAGAAGACTGATGTCATACCACCCGAAGTTTCGATTGCCAAATCAATTTTTGAGGAGGTTCGAACTTCAGGCATCCCTGCACACGTATCTGATACGGATGCAAATGTCGATATGGGTGAAGGAGGTTCGAAACATGACGATCAAGGTCCAGCTATTTCTACTCCTTTCGAAACTATTATTTCTGTCTCACCATCTACTATTCCCATTACATCATCCACTCATTACCCAACATTCGAACATATTCTTGATCAACCTTTTACTTCAATTTTTTCTTCACAATCTACTGACCCACCCAAATCCACTTCTCCTATTCAAGATACTATTTTTATGGAGACAGAGACTGACAATGAAGGGTTTGGAGGAACATTTGAAGACTTAGAATTTCACGAAGAGGAAGAGGAATTTCCTGATCATATGTTGATGACCATGAAGCAGTATAAAATTCTTAATCAGAAATTGAATTCCATAATTCAACCGCAAGCCGATCTTGGAGGAGGTTCATCTGTATCAAGTCTGGAAATTGACACTATGTTAAAGATGATGGAATCACGGATAATCAGCAAAGTATCTGGCATGATTAAAGACTCTGAATCTCGAGTCTTGGAGAAAGTTGATCTCAATGATCAAAACACTGAAATTCGACTTAATTCTCAAAGTTCGAAATTTTCTAGTGATTTGAAAGAGTTGAAAAATGTAGCAAAAGAACGTCATGTGCTCTTTATTCAAGATGTCAAGAAAGTCCGAGAAGATGTCAACATGCAAATTCGTGAACTTCGAGAAGACATGCAAAAAGAAGTTGCCACTGTTCACCATGATTATGCCTCTGTGAATCAAAAAGTTGATATAATTTGTGATGCAGTCACACGATTTGTGAAGTTATACGAAAATTTGAGTCCTCAAATAACTCAAATTTCAACATCTGAAAATGCAAGTTTTGAGGAAGTGATTAAATTGGTTAAGGAGTTGAAGGAGATGTCTGTCAAGCCGATTTCTTCTTCATTGATTACTCCGGATTTTTTATCTCAGAAGTTTGTTCAATTTGAAGCCATACTTAACAAGCAACTTGCACCGCTCTTTCGCATATCCAGTCTTCTTCCCACAACCACTGCCCCTCCTGTTTTCACAGGGGTGCAAGGGGGAGAAAGGAAGTTAAGTGAAGAAGATGCGAAAGTGGTAGGCAAAGTATTTTCTTCGAAAATACCTACAACAAAACCGGTGATCCCTACAACAAAACCGGTGATTATTTCTGCTGAACCAGTAGCTTCAACAGTTGTAACAACATTACCCATTACAAGAACTTTTTCCAAAGGGATTGTAATTGGTAAATCTTTGGAAACTGGTGGAAGTGGTTCAAAACCAAAGGAGGTGATAGATAATCCAGCAATAAAAGACAGAGGGAAATCGATTCTTGTTGAAAAATCGAAAGAAGAAAAGAAGGCTGAAGCAGAGGTTGAGATTGAAAAGCTCAGAATTGTTCAAAGTATAATGGCTCAACGAGCAAGTGATCCGAAGGGAATGAACAAAGGGGATCTAGCTAAACATTATAACTACGAGACAATTGAGGCCAAGGTTGCTTTCAATCACATGTACACATTCGAAAAGAAACCAAAGCAAAGCTATTTGGTCACAAATACTGATACAAGCCAGCTGGATTTCCCGATAAACGAAATGATGTTTATCATGCCACAGTTCAAGGCAGAAGGGAACTTTAAAAACAAGGATGATGGTACACACATGAAAATACGTTTTCATGCTGTTCTTGGAAAAGCCCCTGAAGATGTTTGGTCTTTAATCAAAATAAAGAAAGTGATCAGCATGAAAAAGGATGTGGTTTTCGAAAACACAGTCCAAAACTTTAAATACGTGGTTGCCAGGGTAGATGGAAAGATTTGTGAATTTACTGTTGCTGATTTTCCGTTGATGAACTTGTATGATCTCATACAAGCTACATTGCTTTTAAAAGACAAATCATTTTCATTCCTACAAAATACAGATCCAGAAGAATTCAAGATTGGAGTTGCTCACATCAAAATCTTCATAGAAAATTACTATGAGTGTTTGGCAATGACTGATGTGGAGTTAGCAACTGCCAAGGGAATGGAAATAAAAGCTCCAATGGCTCCTTCGAAGACACAAGCAGAATTAAAGAAATTTGCTGATGGAGAAATTGTCTTAAGCCATTTGGAATAGTATTTGCTGGAAAAGACAAAGCAGGAAAAGCTAAACGTTTCTTGTTCCAGGCAAGTGAAGTAGAAAGGTACTCAACGTCTCAATATACGAACTTAATTGTTCGTATAAATCATTGCAAAAAGAATAATGAAGGAGACAAGAAGGAATTGAAGAAGATTATCTCATGGTATACAGAGGTTCGAAGGGTGTTGCTGTACTCCATCACACTTCTCACTAATTGAAGACTTCGACTATTATTACAAAGGGGGAGATTGTAAGAGTCGAATTGTTGTAATTAGTTGAAGTATATGTTTTGTACCCTTCGAACATTTTTGTAATCTATTTTACTAGGGCATTGTATTCGAAGCTTAATGCTTAGTCCTTAGTATATTTTTTGTATGCTTTCCTCTCCTATAAATAGGAGTGCTTACTAGGGTCATAGTAACGAAGTCTTTTTACAGAATTACATCTTGTACTCTGTAAAACTTGAAAGCATAATAGAGCTGAAACAAGATCATATTTAAATCCTGCGTCTAAATCTCACATCATTACTTGAATTCATACTCTGATTAATTCATTTCTCAATTCATTGTTTCTACAATGGTGTCGGGTGACTCCCCCATAGCAATCAAACGAATGGCCGCATCACATTTCTGCAACGTTGTAAACCCTCGTCTACCTCTAGCATCATATCTTAATTGAAAAAATTCGTACCTAAACATAAATTAACTACAGTTTAAAAATATATTGCATATGTTGTAAAATTAAAGAAACATGTAGTACATTTTTATTTATTTTGTATAAAAGTATAGTAAAGAAGCGATATCGGTTTTCCAAGGCGTTGGCGATTCGTAAGAACACATCCCTACTCAAACGAAATCTTCTTTTGAAGTCCTTCGCCCCGTATACACAATTATCCGCAAAGTAATCACGATATAGATGTTCGTGTCCTTCCTCGCGATTTCTGTTTAACATCGCACGTCTTGTTAGTAGCGGGGTTGTGTCTGGTTGTAGCAGGTCGGTAGTGTAATAATGATACATCATCCTAAAGAAAATATCGTCATCTGAATCATCGGACGAGTCGAAAGGATCCATATTTTTTTTGAAGATAATTGAAAGTGTGTAGAGAGGAGAAGAGAAAGTGTGTGAAATTTTTTTATAAAATGGTAGGTATTTATAGGGTAAATGGTTTTTTTAATAGTTAATTTTTTTTTTAAACCGTTGCATTTAAACGTTATTAAATGTTTAAAATTTAACTCGTCACATCCAGTCGCGACGGCCATGAGATTCACCCTCGACGAGCAAAAACGAATAGGGGGGCAGTGTTCCCCCCGTCATGACGCCGTTGAGGCGTGCCACGTCAGCCCAGTTACTTCTCGTTGAGGCCCATACCGCATGCTCTAAGAATCAGCAAGATTCTAACAATGACCAAAACATTTATGGACAAATATTCATAACAATTTTAATTCAAAACAGAATGCAACAAAGGTAGACATAATGCACTGGGAACAAAAGAAAATCAAGGAGAGTATAACAATGAGGTATACAGGAATGTTGTGCTAACTAAAGCAAAAAGGTGAGCAATAACAGAACTGTTTCAAAAATAAAAGAGAAAGAAGCAAATCCATCAATCATGGTTTACAACATCTTGACAATGTACTTACACATGGATACAAAATTAAGCATTACTAAAATGTAAAATCCATCAATCATGTAGGTGATTAACATCCAAACAGTCATGAACAAAGTGCCACATGTTTGCATACAAGAACCTGCCTTTTCCACCTTTCTTAGTGTCTAGTTCATATCTCCCATATTCTGACCGATGATATGGTATAACAGCAGTATCACGCTTCAAGTAGTTGTTATGAAAAAATGTATATTCTTCCCTTGTCTTTTCAAGTGACACCCATTTCAGTTCCTCAAAATCTATTTCATATATCGGTTGTATAAAAAATGGATCCACCACATAAAGCTTTTGATCATAACTTGCAAGCTCTAGATCATAAAAGCCTAACTTTTGAAACTTCTTGGTTACAAGTAACGTCAAATTGGGCTTCGAAAAGAGTCTCACTTCACATAAATGCCATTCTTGACGAAAATAACGGAGTAGGGTATATATCTTCCCCTTGAAAGCATGTACATCATGAATGATAAAAGGGGTGGAAACATGAGTCCATTCTCGTTTACCCACTATGGAAAACCATATTTCATGATAAAAAGTATCTGCAATAACAAACACCCACTCAGATAATGAAGGTGAATAGACAAGGATAGCCCTGACAGGTTCATAGCCTCGAAAGACATATAAGGGGACATCAGGTAAATGAAGTTCATGCCTTGTGATAGGATTCACAAGCCAGAAGTCACGCGTATTCTTACAATACAAGATCAAGTAACCACAAGTTCCACCGATACATGTCCTGCCAGCAGAAGGGGGAAGGATTGTTTTCAACTTTCTTCCTTCAAAGTCCTCTAAGTAGCATGCGTTCTTATAAGAATGAGAAGAGGTACATACAAACATTGGTGGTTTGGACGCCATAAACTTGTTCTTGTTGGAGAGTGCAAGTGATCTCCATGACTTGAAAACTCCTCTGAATGCAAGAAAATCAATGACTCCAAGTTGCATCATAACTAATAAAAGCACACCATCAGCAAGATCAGACCAAGGTGCCACACCACCATTGTCACAAATCTTGATTTTTTTTGTTCTAGATGCATTACCATTGTTCTGGTTTTTAGTCATGCTCCTTGTCTTAGCCATTCCTATACCTGCAGAAAAATAATTAAACAATTGAGACCTTGGCATATGCAATTTCCACAAAAGATACAAAACTTATAAACAAGGGACAAGCAAACATATGTATACAAGCACTACCCTTCTTAAATATATCAATTTTACAAAAATGCAACATATTAAAAGTAATACGCGTTCACCATGACATATTCATAATCTTAGGGATCCTAAAAGTGAATAGGATTTCGTGTGGGTATCAACTGACGACTACAATATTAATACCCTAATACTCAATAATGGTTAAGGTAGCATTAAACTCCTGTTTCAAATATATGAATGGCTCGATATTTTTAACCTTAAACAAGTCATTGGAAAACAAGATGCATGTAAATGTGCCCTTTTGTTGTGTAACTACACTAACAAGAAAAACAAAGAAGAATTCAGAAACTATTTTGTTGAGAATTCGAAAACTAAAGGTAACCATATTTTTTTATCTGAATGTTTGAATACCTAAATCCTAAAAAGCAAAATAAATAACCCAAACTCAAAAAGATTATGTCTACATGATATACAATCTATTATGGCACTTGTCGACCACTGATAGAGGATCGATTAGGAGCTATGATCAAGCATTAGCATTTAAATCCTCCCAAATCACCAGTTAAACAGACAAAGAACAACAAACTTCAAAGATAGTATACCTAATTGAAACAGATTTTAAGCTTGAGCAGGATGGATTAACAACTAATCACTTAAATACTACAACTCACGGCGATTAGGCTTCCCCGTTTGCGATGCGTCATTCTCCTGTACATCTCTCCCGCCCGTATAGACGGATTGATTTAAAATTTAAATCGTAATTTAATGATTTTAATCGGATAGGCTAAATTGTGTCGTGGATTTTTTTTAACCCACAAAAGTCTAGATCTGTCGGTGATTAGGGTCCATTTAAAAAAAAAAAAAAAAGAACGATGCATACGTTTTATTATTTTTTTGTATAACCCAAACCTTGTAAAAGTTACAAATACAATCTTTTTTTAGTAGTTTCATTGTGAAATTGATCCTCCGATTTACCCATTAAATTCTTCTTGTTGAATCCATCATGCATCCCCTCACACAAGGGTGTGTGATAGAGACCAATTCAAGATGATCAATCTTCCTATAATAATAGAAGAAGATAGACGATAGAGCCAATTATGGATGGCTAGTCCCCACGAACAAGATTAGAAATCAGACTAAAAACGTAACTTTTTCCATTCCATTCGTAATGCAAATACATTCATATAAATAACTAAAGAAAGTCCTACTACTAGCTAATAATAAGGAAAACATGCAATCATGGGTGTAATGCAAAATAGTGAATGTGGTCTACTAACTAAAGGAATACGCATGTAACATTTGGAAGCTTCCATAATTATAGGAGGTGATGTTGGACTCTTACTAATGCAACGTGTTGGCCATGCGTCAACCAAATAAACAAACCAGTTAGGCCATGGAGGTGGCCGGTGATATGGACACAAACATGTATCAATTCCTCCCCCCTTAAAATTGACCTTGTCCTCGAGATATGGTAAGTTAGTTTGTAGAGCAACGAGAGAGGAAAAATGTTGAGTGAACGTGAGACGTCGGCCTTGCCCGAAGGTTTTTTTTATGGAGGTTGTTGTGGTGATAGTGGAAGTGATTTCTGTATTGATGGGAGCGAATGCAAAAAGTTTGGTGACGCCAGTGGTGGTAGTGACGATTGTGGTGTCGGCGGTGCTAATGGTGGAAATGGTGGTGTTGTTTGCAATGTCGGTAGGAGAGTGCTAACGAAATTTATGGTAATCTCGTTTTGCTTGGCGATGTTGGTAGACATGGTGTCAAGTACGGTTGCAAGACAACGGAGGTGTTGATTGTTAGCTCACGGTGGAGGTGGAGGCGGGATGAGTTTGACCATGGTTCCGGTTTGAACGCCGATGAGGGTGTTGACGATGGCCATTTGTGTGATAATTTCATCAAGACGGTGGACATTAGCGGTGGAAATAGCGATGAGTGTGGAGAGTTGCTCGTGGATACTTGGTGGTGTGACATAGATGGACGGATCTTGATGGGGAGGCATGATGAATGGGAATGAAAGCACCATTGATAGAGACCGATTCGAGATGGTCAATCTCCCAAGAATAATAGAAGAAGATAGATGATAGAGCCAATTATAGATGGCTAGTCCCCAAGAACAAGATTAGAAATCAGACTAAAAACATAACTTTTTCCATTCCATTCGTAATGCAAATACATTCATATAAATAACTAAAGAAAGTCCTACTACTAGCTAATAATAAGGAAAACATGCAATCATGGGTGTAATGCAAAAGTGAACGTGGTCTACTAACTAAATGGAATACGCATGTAACATTTGGGAGCTTCCATAGTTATAGGAGGTGATGTTGGACTCTTTCTAATGCAACGTGTTGATCATGTGTCAACCAAATAAACAAACCAGTTAGGGCATGGAGGTGGCCGGTGATATGGACACAAACACGTATCAGTGTGTCATATGTGTCTTTTTTACTTGGGGATCATTTTTGCAATTCTGTACATTTTTTTCATTTACATATTCAATTTGAATTGGTATACCCTTTTTCTCCATCTTCACTCTTTCATCTCTCATTCTTTTGTGAGCAATCGATTACGCAAATGGTTATGTGTTTTTATGGGAAATTTGCAATTATGAAAACGTCATGGTCATCAATGAATTTTGAAAGACGATTATATGTTTGCCTTAACAAGGTAAAATTATATTCTCATCCCAATTTTCTCGATTTTATCTAAACCTAACAACCATCATGGTTTACCTTTTCAAAGATTATTTTTGTGGGTTTATCAGATGGGTTGACCCACCCATGTATGCAAGGTCCAAAGACATCATACCCGACTTGCTAAGAAATATCAACATGTTAGAAACATCGTGTAATCAGTGGCGGATCCATAAATCGGTTATTTGTTCTGATCGGATCAAAATAATAAGATTAATTAGTTGTAATGGTCTATTTTTTTATTCCAATAAATGATCAACATTTTAACAATCATTATTTTGCTCTTAAAATTTTGATGTGCTAAGTATGGAAAAAAAAAGTTTCATGCTTGATATATAAGACTTTATAATGTTAAAATGACATGACAAGTTAAACAAGTGTGAATTTTGTTGCTAGAGTTAATGGAAATGAACAGAAAGGTAGGAGTCAAAAGTTTACATTCATTAGTAGAGTCCGTGCTATTTAAAAATTAAAAAAAAAGTTTTTTTTTTTTTTTACTTCTTTGTTGTTGTTGCCCAGAACCAAAAACACAACCTAAGTCCTAAAATGGCCAGTTGGGCTTTATTTATTTATTATTCATTCTTTTAGCCCAATGCCCCTACAATCCATATTTGAAGAGTCTAGCCCAAATTTTATTCAGGGCACCTTCTAAAGAGTATGTCTATTCAATTTAGGGATGTGCGTTTGGACCGAGTACCCGAACCAAAACCGAAACCCGGACCGAACCGACCCGAATTAGGACCGAATAAGTTATTTGGGTCGGTCGGGTATCTATTTTTGCCCAATTCGGGTTTCGGGTTATTCGGTCCGGATTACCCGAATAAAGGTTTAATCGGGCCAAAAAGACAGACTCGGAAAGTGAATAGTCACTTGAACCGAATAACCCAAATAAACCAAAATGACCCGAATAATCCAAATAAACCGAAATGACTCGAATAACCCAAATAAGGAAATTCTATATTTTAGTTAAAGAAAAAAAATATTAAATTAATATTTTTTTCTCGAACTAAATATAGAATTTCCTTATTTGGGTTATTCAGGCCATTTCGGTTTATTTGGGTTATTCGGGTCATTTTAGTTTATTTGGTTTATTCGGTTCGAAAACATAGTGTAAATGTTTATTTGGGTTATTTCAGTTCTTTCGGGTTAATAACCGAACCGAAACCCATATTAGTATAATCGGTCCGGGTTTCAGTTCCCACTTTTCATCCCATTCGGGTTTCGGGTTATTTGGATTCGGGTTGGTTCCGGCCCGAAGCAAATCCCTAATTCAATTATTTTTGGATCCAAATTAACCCATCTTCTATGTAAAAATATGCAGATCGTTGGAGGGCACCTTCCCCCACTCTCATTGTCTTGCATCGAGGAATGAAGATTTTAAGATGGGGATGTATCTATTGTCTAGTTAGTGATATTTGTGGTTCTGAATATTTGTTGTGTAGTTGGATGATTTTTGTGATTTTGGGTATATGTTATGTTTAGGGATTAGAGTTAGAAAATGGGAGGTTGAACAAGGCTATTAGAATGTTGTTTTTTCTTGGGTGATTTGATGACTTTATCACTTTTTGAAATCCGAACTAATTTTGTTGTAAAGTTTAGTTGCATGGTAAAATTAACATGTTTAATTATGTTATTGATCTTTGGTACACTGTACATCCATGCAAAAACAAAAGGAATATATATTAAATGGGACAACATTCAAATGAAATTATAACATTCTAATTTAAGAAAATATAACAAATTATAGCATTCTACTTTCAAGGTTTTCTTATTAAGATAATTTACTTTGGAAAAAACCACTATAGCATTGTACCTTGAAAAACATAAGCAATTTTAACAATGTACATGAACTTTTTCGTATTAAGGCATTTAAAAAAATAATAATAAAAATCTATCTAATAATATCATTGTACTTTCCATTTTTTTTCGCATTTAACCTAGTATATAAATAAATGCAATTTTTTTGTGACATCCCTAAATTCAAGGTCATTTTAAAAAATTTATTTATGCTTATTTAAAAATCCAAGTATCCTTTTTGAAGAACAATAATGCGGAATTTGTTCCCAGAAAAGCATGATAAATATATTATTAAAGCATTTCCGAAGAAATGTAATTTATTTATAGTAAAACATTGGGATGTCATCGTCAATACAGAAATATAAGCATAAACAGATCTTACATTCATTTATACTAATGATTTACATCTCCTTTAATCTCTCGGTGTAATGTATCTTC